AAGCACCTGTGCGCCCACTTCCTCTAATGCAGGCCCCCTTCGAAAGAATTGGTATGGACCTCATCGGGCCATTAGAGCGATCGGCACGCGGGCATCGCTCTGCATTAGTCCTAGTGGATTATGCAACACGATACCCTGAAGCAGTCGCGCTTCGCAACATTTCGGGGAAAAGTGTGGTGGACACGCTGTTTCGGTTAATCTCCCGAGTGGGGATCCCGAAAGAGATTCTCACTGATCAAGGCACGGCGTTCATGTCACGTACGTTACGCGAACTGTACGGATTATTGGGCATTAAGTCGATTCGCACCAGCGTCTACCACCCACAAACAAACGGTCTGGTGGAACGGTTTAATCGCACGTTGAAAACCATGATTCAGAAGTTCGTGCACGAAGACGCCAAAAATTGGGACAGGTGGCTGGAGAGTGGTCGGAGACGAGTGGTGAGTAAGTAGGTCAAGTGCAAAATGACATTCACCTGCTTCTCGTTTCAGTGATTGGCCTGGAGAGACCGTAAAAGGCCTCAGGGGAAACAGAGAGAGGGAGATGAGACAGACTGAGGACTCGTGGGGGAAAAGACTGTGGCCTGGGCCTAGAGAACCGCAGAAGTGCTATATAAGTTTTGTTTGTTTTGCAGCGCCTGAGCGCCTGCCTGTTTTCGCTGTTCCTACGGGAAGTATAATAAATTACCCGAGCCTCAGTCACGCTGACTCCGACTTCTTCCTTCCCTACTAAGAACCTCATTACATGGTTCAAAGTCAGAGTTGGAAACATCTTGAAAAAAAGTGCATGCAAATTGTATAATATCTAAGGTACACATTTCTAGTAATTGTGCAGTTAATTCTCATTTTGTATTTTCAGAACGTTTTGGAATATTTTTCCTCTCCCCAAAATTTGTCACTACCGAAACACAATAATATATAATATATTAAGAATATTTCAACAAGACATTTTCTTTTAACTGTATTTTTGATCAGACAGAGACCATTTACTGGCAGTACTCGTTAGGTTTTAGCTTAGAAACATAGTAAATATGCATTTCAGTCTAATCATGGCACAAAAATTGTATAGTCATTCTTACTGCACAACTCTCAAGGTTTCAATATTAAGTAAGCATATGTTGTACAACTGAAACCACAGTATATCAGTGTTATCCATTTTCCCTTCCACACTGTTTTAGTGACATATAGGCCAATATGGGTCTCTGCAGTCAGAGAACTAAATGAACCAATCTAATGATTGTGTGTCTGATAAACTCCATCTGAAAGGTTCCACTGTTCCACACACTCTTAAAATTCTCAAATAATATGTGAGAATCTATTATACACTCCACCACACTAAAATCTGCATTCTCATCGTGGGTTGTACAATGAGTCAGTGTTGACATAAATCAATAGCGAGGTAATTAAAAGAGAGCAGATGACCAACTTTTATAGCCTAACAGACATAGAAACGTCTAGATAAAATGAAGGTTTTTTATTTGGACTCATGATGTTTTGAGGTTTTCTTTTAATGAAAAACGTCATAAGGAATGCCTTGTGTTTATGTATGTCACATGAGGTGAACGGTAATGAGAAGTATGAACCTCCTATTTTAAACATCCGCTGCCTACACAGTTATTGCATCATAAACATATTACGTCCTTGTGTCACCTGCACTGAATATAATAGGATTCTAAAAAAGACAAAACAATACACTGAATTCCTCGTGTCTTTTAGCACTTTGTAAAGATTAGTCCCGGTATACGGAAGAGTGACTCTTCGAAAGCTTTTTAACCTTTTGTGTGCTGTCCAAAACAGCATATCGGATAAAGTTTTAACCCTTGGGTTAAGCAACATTTCACACGTATAATTCTGAAAAGGGCCCACACTGCTTTTACCCCTGTGTCAATAACAGTGTGAATTGTGATGTCGGAATGCTAAAACGAGTTCTTTAGCAACAGACAACCAATAATAAACAGTGCTTACCTTACTAAATATCCATGCTGTGTCTACGGTTTGCAGAAACATGAATTTGCGCTGTTTAGTATTCAAAACTGAGGGAAACAGTTGAAAATACCGATCAGTTACCAATAACAGCAGAGCAGAAAGAGACATTATTATTGTTATTTTAAGTTTCATAAGACTTAATGCTACCAAAGTGAACTTACTTGGCGATATTTTCAAACGGACCTGCAGTTATTAAAACATCCCTTACCAAAAAGAAGTATACTTCAAGTTTATTTTATTAAGTATGCTTAAGTAAAGTTCAAGTATATTTTTAAGTATACTTTATGTAGTAAGTTTACAAATATCAGTGTACTAGTAGTATTCTTGTAAGTGTACTATTTCAATACTACTTGGGAGTAAATTGGCCCACACTCTAGTATATAAACTTGTATGTTTGTAAACAAAAACATTTTATTCTAGCTTCATGCATTCTTTTTTTATAAAAACTTGAATGTGGGTAAGTTTCATAAAAAAAAAGAAAAGAAATAAATAAACATTTTGAACAAAAAGCTGAAAAAAAAAAGACTATGAATTGGATTCAAAATGATAATCAAAACGTAGAGTCAATCAACACCCCAAAGCTTGACAGTCATTACCTCTTCATGGGTCGACATTTTATTACATAACATTACACAGTTTTGATGCTGTTTTATGTCTGATCGTGTTAGATTACATGTGGAAGCTTCTGTTGTTTCAGTTTCTTCTTCGCTTGTGTTTTGGAAATTCTGTACAGAAGATGTGCAATAGCGCCCCCTACCGTATAACAATGAAAACATGGATTCCCAGAGCACAAGTATCCACCTTTTTCTTCAACGCGGAAGTAAGCCTATGGGTGAGACTTCCGGTTCATTAGCCGCTGTAGGTAAATAATGAGGAGAATAACAACGTGCATTAGGCTAAACGGTAACACTGTTTGCACTACAAACCAGTGTGTTCATAATTAAGACAATACATTAAAATAATATGATAAGACACAGCAACTTTCAATATCAAGCAGCAAAACGAACTGTTTTGTTCAGCTAAAAATAGCTGGACGGAGTGGACGCAGATGAGACCGGAAGCCAGACCCATAGAATTTACAAATGGCCGCGCCCATTTTTATGACAAGAAAAAGGTGGATAGCTCAAATATATTTAGACTTTTTCTAAGTTTAAGTCAAGTATACTTAAATGTCATTTTAAGTATATTTCTGAGAAGTACATAAATCACATTTCTGAGAAGTACATAAAAAGTAGACTGAAAGTATACTGTCCTATTTTTTAGTTTAAAAGAAGTATACTAATAGCACACTTGAATAAACTTGTTTTTCGTAAGGGATGCCAATCAGGTATGGAGCCGTATTCGTCCATTGAATATTATTAAACTAATAAATATGTAAATAAGAACACAGTGTGGAATCTCAAAACAAGAATTATTAATTGCTAACCGAGCAACAGTGTGAAACCTAGGATTACGTTTACCTGCGGTTTTGAAAGGGTTTGGTTCAAGTGTGAAAAGCGCCAAACGTTTTAAAACAGCGAGTGAACGTGTTCTGTCGCCCTCTACCTAATAAACCCTACATAAACCCGAATCACATTACGTAATATATTTAAAAAAAAAATCATTGATGGACAGAAGCAGAAAAGATTTTGATTCTTTATTTATTTTTTTATCTTAAAAGGCCCCTCGTTGTTGATAACGGAAAGTGAAATGAAAAGTGTAAATAGCCACAACCACAACGAAATTTGTTATTCCACAAATTTCAAGAACTGTTTTTCAGTAATATCAACAGATGTTTGTGGGCAAATTAAAATAAGAATGGCATTTAATTGACATGTTGAACATTGTGACTTTGTAGTAATTGAGTTTATTTAATTATAAATGACTTTAAACAGTTTGAAGTCGTCTCGCAGTCCCATTGGATGTTTGCTTGAGAATCACTGGATCAGGATTGGAGCGCTTCAGTTCACCGGTGTTCCCGATAGAGGGCGCGCTATGCTGAAGTAATGGAAATCCACCCCTGACCATAGACATATAAATACCTAGACGCCTCATTGGCCGCTTTGAGCCGTTGCTGCGATACGTCAACGCGTCCGCCATGTTTGGCAAGTCTGCCTTAAAAATAAATGGAGGTAAACGGAGGAGCTGCGTTTTTTTCTGGATAAAAACACGATAACGTTTACATTTATCAACCGATTTCAGAGGTTTGTGATCTACATGGAGTTAAAAATAACTCTGCCTCCAGTTATTTAGTTAGGCTTGGAAAATTATTAATTTTCGTAAGAAATTGTGAAAGCTCACACTTGTCTCACTTGTTGATTTGATTGATTTTTTTCGGTTTACAATTCTAATGTTAATGCAACGAGTCAGGTATGTTTTCTTCTGTCCCGATATGAGAGTTGCCCGCACCAATATGGCGGCGACGTTGACGTGCGGTCGAGCGGCCAATGAGGAGTCTAGGTATTTATTATGTCTATGCCCCTGACTACCAGACAGTACGCTGCAGGAGTCGCCAGGCTGGTTTAGCATAGACGACTGTTAGATTGTGTTCATGCAAAACAGCGTTTAGCTGAACATCAGACGGGGAATAAATAGCCTTCATCATGTCAAAGAATACGGTGTCCGATCGTTTCCGTAAAGTGGATGTGGATGAGTACGACGAGAACAAGTTTGTGGACGAGGAAGAGGGAGGAGAAAACCAGCTGGGTCCAGATGAGGCAGAGGTGGATTCTCTCATCAGACAATATCCTTCTTTATTCACCAGCTAACATGTGCATGATCTGAAATAGTCTTGCATTTTCAGTGGCACTATCTCATATAAGCAATTTCCGTGTGCTTTATGCTTGAGTATGTAATGATGACACCAGCAATGGATATAATTCGGCTAATTAAATATTTTCCTGGAAAAAAGTATGCATAAATAATTAAAGCAAAAAGTGCTTATTAACAAGTAGAAGGAAAGACGATGATTTAATTTTGTTCGCAGCCAGTTTTACGTCAACATTATATTCACTGATTTGCTGTTCATAATTCATGAGTTGCCTGATACACCAGCTGGCCTGCAGATTTCTGTACATCAAAGACTCCACACAGACAGAACTGGGTTCTTTGCTCTATTCTACTCATTTACATTCATTTTACTGGACAGGCACCGATCCAGTGTCCTGCAATATTGATAGCGTTGTCTATAAAAGTGAAGCGAAAATAGTCACAAACATGCTTGTTTAGTTTCATTGTCCGCTCGTGCTGCATTATGTACACGTATCAGCTCATATTCAGACCTCTGAAATGTCCAGGCCTGTCTTAACATTCCAGACATTCTTTTTAACAAAACTGTTTGTGAAAAAAGATGCTGATTACTTAGAATTATGCTGATGGTGATTATGTTAACTACAACATACTAGTTTCAAACGGTGTGGGGGTTGTAAATATTAAGTTCTTCAGTCATTTGAAACTGTTGCATTATTTAGTACAAGGAAGTTGAATTCATGTCCTTATATGTCAATTTTGGAGTACCCAGGGCCTTATTTCCTGTTTCTAATTTTTTCCCCCTGTGGTTGCCTTGTAATATGTT